TTTACTAGTACAGTGGTTTACTGCCACATAATTAAATTGGAAAACAGCACAGTACGTGCTCATGCATATGTGCTTGTAAAAAGCACAGGCAAGTACAAGCTATTGTTTGACTCTTCAATTCATCTGGTAAAATGTGTCCTCATCAATACAAGCACAAGGCAACCAGATAGCACTTTGAATATAATATTGTTGGTCAGATGGCCATTTAGGCTAAATGACCTGGTAAATGACCACTGTGGCCAAGTTAATGTGTTTTTGAGTGGAAGGCTATCCCAAGGCAATTAACCTTTGCTGGCAGTAGCAGCCACCCATCCAGATAGGCCCAAAGCAAATCATGTTATATAGAGGTAAAGCCATGTCCTGCTTCATTTGATGCCTTGCCTGAAGTTCTTTTTTTTTTTTTGATGTACATCAACTTGTAAAAAAAAATTCATTTTTTTTCTTCTTTTTTTGAAGGGTGGGGCTGGGAGTGAAGTTGGACATTTACCAATGACTCTGCACTAAACAACATTCCCTTAGATTTTCATTTTTCACTTTACATTTTGTATCTATCCCAACATTAGGAAAAATTCCAAATTTATGCTTTCAACAAATTAATTGTTGGAGTGGTCTTAATGTGATGGCTGTCTGTGTGTCAACTTTTTTTTCTAAGAAGTTTAAATGCACCAGGAGAAAAAAATCAACCTAATGGGTATGATCCAAAAAACAAAAGAACAATAAATTCAAAAAAGTCTTTAAAAATCCTTGTTGAACTCAGGAAAATAGGAGACAGTTAGTTTAAATCAAAGCATGATTCAAGTGTTTACCATTTAGTTTCCATAAATCACACCTATCCCAGAAAAGAAAAGGAAAACTACAATCTGTTTTTGTCTTTAAATCTAAGGCTTGCTTCCCCACCCAATTAAGTACAAAACAAAAAATAGAAAAAATGCCCCTATATTTTTTCTCTACCAGAAAAAAAGGGGTGTTAAAACTTTTGAAGTCCCATTTTATTTAGCAGTTCAACAAGTCGTACTAAAAACCATTGTAGGGCAGGTTCAGTCAACCTTAGCCAACTTCACACCCACCTAAACAGGTTTTAATACACTCCTTGCCTCCCTCACCTTGTAAAAATATACAAAAGTAAACACCTCTTGTTCTTTTCTTTCAATACAAAGGGTTTGGCATATACGTCAAAAACCTTTTCTCTTTATTGCGGTTATTATTATTTTTTTCATGCAAGGTGTGAAGAGTCAACTGGAAAAGCAGTCAGTCAAGTTCTCCAAAAACACATTTACTTTTGGTTCAGGAAGGCATTTGCTCTTTCCCTTTGTTCGTAATCCACGGGTCAAACCTATCCCATGGGTGAGGGGGTGTAAAACTACCCAGACGACTGTGTCAAAGCCAAGGGGGAAAAACTTTGTCTGCACTGTTTGCACCATTTCGTCTTAGCCTGAGCTGCTTTAATCTTCTTGTTTTGACCATCAGTCAGGGGTAATCTGGAGTGACCAAATCACCTCAACAGTCCATTACTAGTAGGTTCAAAGAAGTACTGGTCCTGTAGTTTGGAATAGAACTTACAATTTTTTATCAATCTGGCTCAATTAACTTTCCACAAACCAAGAGATAAAGAATATTTGGTGTCCTATATATATATTTTTTAATTTGCAAGTCATCTCCCATGAAAAGCAATCTGGTTATTCAATGATATGAGGTATTGATAAGATACTATTTTTCTTTCCTAAATTATCCTAGTTATCAACAAGGCTCTCAGTAGTATACATCAGTGCTTACTCCACATAACACCTCTGTACATAATATGTATGCATTGGAAATGTGTTTCAAGGCAAGGTGGTCTATACTCTTGTACTACCTGAAGCAAACAACTACTAGTATGACACAAACGGCCACCTAATATCACTTAAGGCATTACTCTGCATCAATTTTTTCCTTTTCAAAAATGATGAAAAACAAGCAACACTGCAGTAGAAAATCACCAAACCAAGAGCTGTAGGCAGTAAATGNCAAAACTTTTATTTATAACATAGCTTTCCCATATTAAAATCCCATAGGCAGGATCTTGAATTTACATGAATTGTCTTTTTGTTCCTTTTTTTCTTTAAATTTATGAATGTTTTAAATACTAATGAAGTTTTCACTTATTAAACTTGGCCCATTCAAATCAATAACAAAAACCACCACATTCTGATACAATCTCCTGCTCCTCTTTGGTTTTAACCAGTCAAAATCAAACAGATAACACATCCATCTCCAGGCTAAACCAAACCAGCTTACATAAAAGATAAGGTTAAACATGATAGAAAACACCATCCCCTCCTGGCATTCCACATTCCCAGTCATACATTGTAAAAATCAATATACTTTCCCCTATCTCTTATTTACAGTTACATTAGAACTGTACTAGGGCTATCTGGTTTAGTTCTCTGACTCTGACTGTACACTATCACACTATATATATATATACCCCGCAGTAAGTGAAGTGTGACTTGCTTATTACCATAAAGCACACCCAACTAGTTTTAAGAAAACCTCATTATCAATATTGATTACTTGCCAGTGGATGTATGAAAGAAATGGCTGCAGCTGATTTGTTGAGAATTTCTCTCGTTGATTTTATGCTGAATATTCCATGTAGCACAATGTCAACAAGAAGATTCATTTGATCATCTATTTTGTTCAATCATAATAGTTTACATATATTATAGGGGTAAAATTCAATGCAATGCTTGCCATTTGACATGAACATTTAAAATGCTTCAAGTAGGAACAGGTACTTATATTTACTAGTACAGTGGTTTACTGCCACATAATTAAATTGGAAAACAGCACAGTACGTGCACATGCATATGTGCGTGTAAAAAGCACAGGCAAGTACAAGCTATTGTTTGACTCTTCAATTCATCTGGTAAAATGTGTCCTCATCAATACAAGCACAAGGAAACCAGATAGCACTTTGAATATAATATTGTTGGTCAGATGGCCATTTAGGCTAAATGACCTGGTAAATGACCACTGCGGCCAAGTTAATGTATTTTTGAGTGGAAGGCTACCCCAAGGCAATTAACCTTTGCTGGCAGTAGCAGCCACCCATCCAGATAGGCCCACAGCAAATCATGTTATATAGAGGTAAAGCCATGTCCTGCTTCATTTGATGCCTTGCCTGAAGTTCTTTTTTTTTTTTGATGTACATCAACTTGCAAAAAAAATTCATTTTTTTTTCTTTTTTTGAAGGGTGGGGCTGGGAGTGAAGTTGGACATTTACCAATGACTCTGCACTAAACAACATTCCCTTAGATTTTCATTTTTCACTTTACATTTTGTATCTATCCCAACATTAGGAAAAATTCCAAATTTATGCTTTCAACAAATCAATTGTTGGAGTGGTCTTAATGTGATGGCTGTCTGTGTGTCAACTTTTTTTTTCTAAGAAGTTTAAATGCACCAGAAGAAAAAAAAAATCAACCTAATGGGTATGATCCAAAAAACAAAAGAACGATAAATTCAAAAAAGTCATTAAAATTCTTGTTGAGCTCAGGAAAATAGGAGACATCAGTTAGTTAAAATCAAAACATGATTCAAGTGTTTACCATTTAGTTTCCATAAATCACACCTATCCCAGAAAAGAAAAGGAAAACTACAATCTGTTTTTGTCTTTAAATCTAAGGCTTGCTTCCCCACCCAATTAAGTACAAAAAAAAAAAAAAAAAAAGATATAATGCCCCTATATTTTTTCTCTACCAGAAAAAAAAGGGGGTGTTAAAACTTTTGAAGTCCCATTTTATTTAGCAGTTCAACAAGTCGTACTAAAAACCATTGCGGGGCAGGCTCGTTCAACCTTAGCCAACTTCACACCCACCTCAACAGGTTTTAATACACTCCTTGCCTCCCTCACCTTGTAAAAATATACAAAAGTAAACACCTTTTGTTCTTTTCATTCAATACAAAGGGTTTGGCATATACGTCAAAAACCTTTTCTCTTTATTGCGGTTATTATTATTTTTTTCATGCAAGGTGTGAAGAGTCAACTGGAAAAGCAGTCAGTCAAGTTCTCCAAAAACACATTTACTTTTGGTTCAGGAAGGCATTTGCTCTTTCCCTTTGTTCGTAATCCACGGGTCAAACCTATCCCATGGGTGAGGGGGTGTAAAACTACACAGACGACTGTGTCAATGCCAAGGGGGAAAAACTTTGTCTGCACTGTTTGCACCATTTCGTCTTAGCCTGAGCTGCTTTAATCTTCTTGTTTTGACCATCAGTCAGGGGTAATCTGGAGTGACCAAATCACCTCAACAGTCCATTAGGTTCAAAGAAGAACTGGTCCTGTAGTTTGGAATAGAACTTACAATTTTTTATCAATCTGGCTCAATTAACTTTCCACAAACCAAGAGATAAAGAATATTTGGTGTCCTATATATATATTTTTTAATTTGCAAGTCATCTCCCATGAAAAGCAATCTGGTTATTCAATGATATGAGGTATTGATAAGATACTATTTTTCTTTCCTAAATTATCCTAGTTATCAACAGGGCTCTCAGTAGTATACATCAGTGCTTACTCCACATAACACCTCTGTACATAATATGTATGCATTGGAAATGTGTTTCAAGGCAAGGCAATCTATACTCTTGTACTACCTGAAGCAAACAACTACTAGTATGACACAAACGGCCGCCTAATATCACTTAAGGCATTACTCTGCATCAATTTTTTCCTTTTCAAAAATGATGAAAAACAGAGCAACACTGCAGTAGAAAATCACCAAACCAAGAGCTGTAGGCAGTAAAAGAAGCTGTAACTATTTCTTATAAGGACAAACAGTATCATATATCTAAGGTACTGGGAGCAAATGCCAAAGTGTTTTAGGTAAAGGCAAAATTGCTGAAATCTCCAAAATACCCCCCCCCCTTCTGCCTGAAAAGCTAGGTGTATTACTGATAATATGTTAGAAAAGCAGAATTTTCTTCAGTCAGTAATTCAGTTTCTTTCTTTTTTTCTTTACCTTGATATGAAATTCTAAGTTTTCATCCATCTGATAGATGTACTGGAAAATGTCAGAGATAATTCTTGGAATGATGCCCTGTTTTGTGGTGTCCCCAAGCACACCCTGAAAACAGAGGAAAACACCACGTTAATTAAGTCAGTTCTTTTCTTTTTTCTTACTTTTTACTAAAAGGAGATCTAAACAAGAGACACACATTTAAGTATGGCCTGGTCAATTTGTTCAAAGACAAACCAGTATGTTGGTAGAAAGACCAGTCCATTACAGTACATATGCCATCAAATTAATGACAATATCCTCTCTGTGTATTACTTTTTTTTTTCAGATATATACATAAATATTTCAACCATACGTAAATAGTACTTCTATCCACATATTATTTCTTACCTCCATAGTGTGTGTCTTGCCACTAGATGTCTGTCCATAGGCAAATATTGTTCCATTGTAACCACCGAGAACATCTAAAATATAAATGATTCAATAATAATAATAACAGAATAAGCATACCATGTAAACATTTGCATTAATTCTACATTGTGTATTTACGTTTTTGGTGTTATAGGCTACCTATGCAGCCAGATTGGAGGTGTTCTTTAAAATAAAAACAAATCATTTTGTTTGTGTGGCATGTTTGAAAATCCACTTTTTATACATACAGAAAAAGTGGATTTATTGATTATTTATCTTTATCCTTATTATAAATTTATAACTGCGACTGCTCTAAAATGGAAAAAAAAATATGGGCACATTCAGTCCCCAGTAAATAGCCTCAAACCAAATAACTTATGAAAAGTTAACAGATTTCTTAACATTTCAAAATATGCTCTTCTCATTTACGCGATTTGTAAGTATCTCCATAAAACCAACACAGCATCCCTGCCCACTCCAGCAAATAAATAGCTTGAACATGGCTCATTTCCTAACCTATGTCTATATTTACCACATACCATCTGCCAGCACAGACACATAGAGCACCTTGCAGGTATCTGCTGGATATATGTAGTATATACCTGTATCACAGACATTCTGTTAGCTCACAATTATTTGGCCTATGCACAGGCACTTGTGTACCTGGACAGTCAGCATATAATGATATTAGTACATTCAGTTATACATCTAGGTATAGGTATAGCTTGGGCATAGGAAATGTAAATCTTAGACACTTTTATTGACATTACCTCATTTCACACCAAATGACTAATAAAATCACAAAATCTGATAAAATATTCAAAGCTATCTTTGAACCAAACAAAATACTATTTTCAGCTACAGTAAAATTTGTTTGGCATCTGGTGAAAATTCCGCAAGACAGCCTGACACAAGCTTGTATATACATATATATCTGTGCTACATGTTCTCAGTTATACTAGTACTGAGATATGCTACTTATGTGGTATTTGATATAAGAAGAGATACCTGTCCCATACTATCCACAAAGCTTTCACAGAGTATGATATATATAAGTGGATACTAGTAGGGGGTAACATGCTGGGACTGATATTAGTTCTGCAGTGTGATCAAGGTCAACAAGATTAAGGTGCCAGTCAAATCCAGGATTTCACTATCTCTGGGTAAGGGAGGGAGCCGAGAGGGTGATTATCTAACACTTCTCTTTTCATTTACCAAATGAATTATGCATTAGCCACCATAACTTCAAAATGAATATCAGATTATTAAAGGTCAAACCTGGATTCTCTTTTGAACTCTACTTTTAAATAGTAGAAAACAAGAAGATATAACAGATGCTATATGAATCCCTTTTAATTGTAATCTTATGTTAAACCTCAAGGAAAAGGGAACAAAATGCCGCAAGGCTTTGATAGTCATCAAAACAGACATACTCAAGGAAATATAGCAGCCATGTCTTAATCAAATTTCAAGTTAGAGTTGGAAAAAGTCTCTACTGTAATGAGATCATGCAAGGCTATCATCAATGGACTCTCAGTGTCTCAAGGAGCAAAAACTTTCCAATGGAGGCCTGAGTATCTTCACGTGACCATTGTTTACACACCCGAACCTCAGAGCAAACTGGAAACCAGCCTCTCAGAAGCATACTGACAATAGAAATACAAGGTTGGTTTACAGTCCATTCTGAATGCACAGCTATGAAGAGCAAGCACAGAGAGACCCAGGTTTTGTATCTGTTCACTAACCAGCTGCAGCATTGATTTTTCCTGATCTCTCTACTGCTATCTTGCTATTATTTATGTCTGTTGCATGTGTTTTGGAGTTTACTCAGTAAATGGGTTTTTTCCCCATCCATCTCCTAACTGGGCATTGCCCTAGATTTTTTTTCATAAGAGATAGGAAATTAGGTTGGGGGGGGGGGGGGGGACCCCCAACGCATTTTTAAC